GGAGCATTGGGTTGTGTGTGTGTGTGTGTGTGTGTGTGTGTGTGTGTGTGTGTGTGTGTGTAAGTGAAGCACGGAAAAGCATGGGGGGGGGCTTGGAGTCGAATACACCCGTACACAACACCACACGCGTCTCCTCATTGAATGGGTGGTGGGATCAATCCCTGTCGACAGCACCTGAGAATTGGAAGTAGTGGTCGACCTGCCCTACGGGCTCGATCTTGAAATCTTCTGGCGCATTTGTCCCGTTCCTTCGTCGCTTCACCTGTGGGCACGTGGAGATGGTGAGGTGGATGGGGGAAGGGCGGGGAGAAGGTACGCTGTGTACTGGAAACGGACCAGATGCAGTGCGCAATTCAAATCGGGTGCACACAGGCAGACAGGCAGGCAGGCAGGCAGACAGACAGACAGACAGACTAGTCCACACAGATTGTCAGACACTGATAGATGCAAGTACAGGCAAAGTTCGACAGACACACGAGGACATCATTCGACAGGCAGGAGACCTTGAGCAGGAAAGTCTTGGTTTTCTTCTGTCGCTTCCCATGAATGGCATGGGCGAGCGGGACGCCTGGTCTGAGCTGTAGGCTGAGCTGGTCCTGCATGTGCTTGGCCACGCTCCCAATGGTCTCTTCCCCGCCAAGCGCTTCGATGGCACGGCTGTGTGATCATCGCAACGCGAAGCCAACGTGCAGGCAACGGAACACGTTAGCAGTGGTGCACACATTGTGTTCGAGAGCGGGAACACACGGTCAAACATCAAGCCATGGCCAGAAGCACATACACACACACAGACAGACAGACGCAAGCACACACATACACACACACACACACATATATATATATATATATATATATATATATATATATACACACACACACGCAGACAGACGCAAGCACACACACACACACACGCACTCACTCTGGGTTGTTGATGGCTCCGGGCATTTCAACGACAAATAGACGAGGGCCAGAGCCAGCTTCCTCCTCACTCTCTGCCTCTTGACTGTGTACGCTCTCTCCTTCTTCGTCTTCTCCCTCGTCCTCCTCTTCCTCTTCCTCTTCCTCCTCTTCTTCCTCCTCGTCATCATCCATGTCATCTTCATCATCGTCGACATCATCATCAATGTCTTCCTCCTCCTCCTCTTCTTCTTCCTCCTCTTCGTCATCTCCATCAAGATCGTCGTCGTCGTCATTGTCATCATCGTCGCGGTCATCACCGTCGGCACCGTCATGGCCGTCATCCTTGTCATCGTTGTCGTGGCCTTCGTCCATGGCGTGTTGGTGGTGTGCCTCACCTTTGTGCTGTTGTTTCTCCTCCGCCTCCTCCTTCTCCTCCTTTGCCTGGCCCGCCGCGGCCGGGTGATGGCTGTCCTCCCCTTCGTCCATTGCAGCTGCATCAGTTGCAACTGTCGTCTTCTCCGCTTCCATGTTGTTGTCACTCTGGCTCGACTCACTGACACACACTCAAAAGCGCAAACAACACAACAGAGCAAACCACAACACCTCTTCTTGCTTCGTGTTCGTTTGGTTTTTGTTTCAGCGGCCGCGACTGATTTCAGTCTCGATGCGTGAATGCAACTTCGCCACCTTCATTCGTGCCCTCGATTGTGGTGTGGTTTTTGCTTGCTTGCACCTTTGCCAAACAAACGCCCGCCGTGTGATTGCTGTGGTTCCCCAAAAGCTTTGTCTCCGAGCGACGCCGCTTGGCTCACAGACACGCACCATTGTATCGTGCTGTTGGCTGGTTGTGCCTTTGTCTTCTCTGATCATCGTTGTTGAGAAGCAAGAGGCACAAGAAGGACACCTTCGCTCACACACACACACCTGAGCACATTGTTGTTGGGGTTGTTGCCATTGTGTGTGTGTGTGTGTGTGTGCGTGTGTGTGTGTGTGTGTGTGTGTGTTGCCACGCTCAAATCACACCCTTGCACCCAGCTCGCAACCGCCATTTTGCGACACAGCCCAAACACGGCCAGCTGACAGCGGGCAAGCAACAGCAACAGCAACAGCAACAGCAACAGCAACAGCAACAGCAACAGCAACAGCAACACAGGTGGGAGGATGATGCGCCTCGGGCGTCGGGGTGGTGGTGGTGGAGGTGGTGGAGGTGGTGGTGCAAGCAATGGCCACACTGATGGGAGCAGAAGCGGTGGTCGCGGTGCGGGCGAAACCGAAGGAGGAGGGGGAGGAGACGATGCACGCCACTATGGGAACGTTGACGGCGATGATGCAGCCACAGACCACCTGACGGCCATCCTGGGCAGTAATGAGGAGGAACCAGTTGGTGGTGACACGGATGATGCTGGTCTTGAGGAAGTCAAACGGGCAGAGACTGCGAAGCCAGCCACCTTGCAAGCACAGCCAGTGCCTGCAATTGCCATGGAACAGAGGCCGCGCACGGCCAGTTCCATATCGCCGCGAACTGCGCGCGCCACTGGAACCGGATCACTGCAGGAAGCAGGGGATCGAAGGAGACGCCGTAACACTGGCGATCCCATGACCCTGGCAGCAAGCGCCCGCAATGCCGCCTCAAGAACGTTTGCCTCTCTTCAGCCAGTGGTGGGCGCTCTTGTGTGCGTGCGTGTGTGCGTGTGTGTGTGCGTGTGCGTGTGTGTGTGCGTGCGTGTGCGTGCGTGTGTGTGCGTGTGCGTGTGCGTGTGCGTGTGCGTGTGTGTCACCTTCATGTAGAGGTGTGACTGGGAGAACACCTTTACACGCAGACTCACGTCTCCCAACCTGTGGTTGTGTGTGCAGTCGCTTCGGAGACGCAAGTCTTCAGACACATCATCAACACGGTGGGTTGGTGTGTCACCCCGCTTGTGAGATCACAGCACTCGGGTGTGTCGGGTGTGTCATCACCCTTCAATCGACACAGTCACCGCCTGTTCTTGCACGTGTCTCACGCACTCACGCACACACACACACACACACACACACACTCACTCACTCACTCACTCACTCACTCACTCACACACACACTCACTCACTCACTCACTCACACACGCACGCACACACACACACACACACACACACACACACACACACACACACACACACAC